TGCATTCTTTAGTATACCAATTGTATTTTTCAGCTCCAGAATTTCTGCTTGACTGTTTTTAATTATTTTAATATCTTTGTTGAATTTATCTGATAGAATTCTGAATTCCTTCTCTGTGTTATCTTGAACTTATTTGAGTTTCCTCAACGCAGCTATTTTCAGTTCTTTGTCTGAAAGGTCACATATCTCTGTTTCTCCAGGATTAGTCCCTGGTGCCTTATTTAGTTCATTTGGTTAGGTCACATTTCCCTGGATGGTGTTGATGCTAGTTAGACATTCTTCAGTGTCTGGACGTTGAAGAGTCAGGTATTTATTCTAGTCTTTGCTGTGTGAGCTTATTTGTAGCCATCCTTCTCAGGGAAGGCTTTCAGAAATTTGAAAGATGTGGATGTTGTGTTCAAGCTGTATCTGCTTCAGGGGTACCCCAAGACCAGTAATGCTGTGATTCCTGCCGACTGGTACCACCTTGATGGTATTGGTCCAGATATGGGAGAATTCTCTAAATTATCAGGCAGAGATTTGTTTTCTTTTCTTACTTTCTCCCAAGCATATAGAGTCTCCTGTGTCATTTTGTAACACCTAAACCTGGGGATGGGGTGACACAGCACCTCTGTGGCCACCACCACTATGACTGGGCTGGGTCAGATCTGAAGCCAGCAAAGCACTGGGTCTCATGCAAGGCCTGCTGTAACCATTCCCTGGCTACTGCATGTGGTTTCTCAAGGCCCTGGGACTGTACAGTCAACAGGTGGCAAAGCCAGCCAGGCCTATATCCTTCCTTTCAGGATGGCAAGGACCCCCAAGCCCTGGGTGGGTCCAGAAGTGTCATCTGGGAGTCAGCGAGTGGAGTCAAAAACCTTAGAAGTCCATGTGGTATCCTATTATATTGCAGCAGAGCTGGAACTAAAAACAAAAGACACAGTCCTTACCACTCTTTCCTCCCCTTTCCCAAGGTACAGGAGCCTCACCCTATAGCTACTGCCACCCTAGTCATGATGAGTACTTCCAGACTACCACTGATGTTCCCATAAGGGCCAAGATCTCTTAAGTCTGCTTCTGGTGGATGCTGCCTAGCTTGAGACTCACCCTTCAGGAAAATGGGCTCCCCTGGACAGATCCAGAAATCCATCCAATAGTCAAGTCCTTGGAATCAAGGACTCCAAGAGTCTGCTTGGTGGCCCACCCACCATGGCCATGTTGGTACCTAAGGTACAAGACAAAGTCCCCTTTACTTTTCCATCTGCTTTCCTCAAGAATAAGGAGTTTCTCCCCATAGCCACCATAGCTAGTAATGTGCTGAGTCTTACTTGCCAGCAAGTCTCAGAGGTTCACCCAAGGCCCAAGATGTAGTACCTGGTTATCTCTGCTGGTTATTTGGGGCTGAAGGGCTCTTCAGTTAGCGGGAGATAAAAGCTGGCAGGTCTAGGTCCTTTTCCTCAAGGCAGTGGGTTACCTTCTGTCCTAGGGTATGTCTAGAAATTTTATCTTGGAGCTAGGACCTGGAACGGGGACCTCATGACTCACTGGTGTTCTATCCTGCTGTGGCTGAGCTGGTATCCAAGAGACAAGATAAAAACCTCACCACTCTTCTCTCAAGTGGAAGAAAGGAGTCTCTTTTGAAACAAGAAGCTGTGCAACCTGGGTTTAGGGGAGAGATGATGCCAGCACTCCCTTGGTTACCCAAGCTGGTATCTCAGTATGGACTCACTTAGGAGTTGCAGTTCTGATGACCTAGACTGCCTTTCAAATGTACCTGGAGACACAGAACACTGTAGCCCTCTGTGGTGAGCTTTGCAGGCACTCAAGTTCTGACTGCTGGGATCTGCGACTCCCCTCTGGCTAGGCCTGGTTTAAATATTCTCTGTGTGACCAGGTATCAGCTGAGTTAGAACTGGTTTTCATTTCTGCTTTAACAGGACCACACTGAGTTCAATGACTCACAATTACTGTGTTCTCCCTTCCCCAGAGCCCAGAGATACTCTCCACACCAGGCCGTTTCCTGTGGGGGTTGAGAAGGATGGTGTCACTGATTCAGGACTGCTTTTTCTATTTCTTCAGTGGCATTTTCAGTGATATCAAGTTAAATCCAGGTACTATAGGTGCTGACCTGATTTTTCGTTCTTATGATGGTGTTTTTTTGCTATATAGATAGTTGTTAACTTGGTATACCTGCAGAAGAGATGATGTCATTGCAGGGGAATGTGGAGCCTTCTGTTCCAGCATCTTGCTCAGCTTCCCAATTCAGTTGTTATATATTTCTCAAGGCCCTCTATTGTCTGGGTTTTTTCTCTTTAACATCTTTAAAAGTGCCTTACCACAAGACGGATTCAAGATTTAAACGTAATACCTAAAACCATAAAAATCCTAGAAGAAAACTTAGGCAATACCATTCAGGGCATAGGCAAGGACTTCATGACTAAAATACCAAAAGCAATGGCAACAAAAGCCAAAATAGACAAATGGGATCTAATTAAACTAAAGCACTTCTGCACAGCAAAAGAAACTGTCATTAGAGTGAACAGGCCACCAAAAGAATGGGAGAAAATTTTTGCAATCTACCCATCTGACAAAGGGCTAATATCCAGAATCTACAAAGAACTCAAATTTACAAGAAAAAACCCCATCAAAAAGTGGGCAAAGGATATGAACAGACACTTTGCAAAAGGAGACATTTTTGCAGCCAACAAACACATGAAAAAAAGCTTATCACTTGTCATTAGAGAAATGCAAATCAAAACCACAATACGATATCAGCTAAAGCCAATTAGAATCATGATCATTAAAAAATCAGGCAACAAAAAATGTTAGAGAGGATGTGGAGAAATAGGAATGCTTTTACACTGTTAGTGGGAGTGTAAATTAGTTCAACCATTGTGGAAGACAGAGTGGTGATTCCTCAAAGATCTAGAAATAGAAATACTAATTGACCCAGCAATCCCATTACTGGGTATATACCCAAAGGATTATAAATCATTCCATTATAAAGACACATGCACACATGTTTATTGTGGCACTGTTCACAATAGCAAACACTTAGACTGGAGAGAGAAAATGTGGCACATATACACCATGGAATACTACGCAGCCATAAAAAGGGATGAGTTCATGTCCTTTGCGGGGACATGGATGAAGCTGGAAACCATCATTCTCAGCAAACTAACCCAAGAACAGAAAACCAAACACTAGATGTTCTCACTTGTAAATGGGAGTTGAACAATGAGAACCAATGGACACAGGGAGGGGAACATCACACACCAGGGGTGTTGGGGAGGGATAGCATTAGGAGAAATACCTAATGTAGATGATGGGTGCAACAAACCACCATGGCACATGTATAACAACTATGTAACAAACCTGCACATTCTGCACATGTACCCCAGAACTTAAAGTATATATTTTTTTTAAAAAAAACTACCTTACCTTTCTTATACAACTTCCTCAGGTTTTTCAACTCTCCTCTCTTTCTCCTTTTTTCTCTTCCTCTCCCCCTCCATTTGATCCAGGGATTTAATGTTTATATGTATTTCCCTCAAACTTCCTTTTTAAAACACAATCATGTCTCTGACCTTTTTGTTTATCGTTTTGTCATGGAAACATGTCTTCCTGCCCTCAGTTATAGTAGTTCTCATTCCAATATGCTTCCAGAAGATGCTGGACATCATCATTTACATCTCCTGTATCTGTCTTCCTGGATCCCTTGCTCCTAAGCACATGCCATCATTCTGTCAATAAATGAAAAAATGGTATTTCCTCTGCCTGAAAATGCATTGCATAATCCTCATCTAGCATCCCACCTCCCACCTTTAACCAGCTAAATCTTCCTAATCTTTCAATATTTATTTTAGGGGGGCATTCTTCTGAAAGGTTTTTCTCCATTTGCCAGGCTATGCTAGGGGACTATCCACTATTATCTCATGATGATGAATGAGCTCTTACAGTGAAAGTCAAATCACACCACCCCTCTGCTCAAGATACTTCAAAGGCCCCCTGTTTTAATCTGAGTGAACATCAAAACTTTTGCAATGGCCTAATTTGCCCTACAGAATGTGCCACCTTTTCCTCATTATCTTCATTTTATATTACTCTCTTCTTTTCTCTAAACTAACCCTTTAGTGCCAAGGCAATAGCTGGGATGCTTTCCCTAAATAGCCACATGACTAACTCCCATGTCTCCTTCAAACCTTTGCACAAATGTCCCTTAATCAATGAGGCCTATTAAACTCTCCTGTTTTAAAATGCAATCTTCATCACCCTCCCCACCTGCAGATTCCTAATCTTCCTTTCTTTGCTCCATTTTTATAGCACTTACTCTCTCCTATCAAAGTACACATTTTTATGACTATTTATTGTCCGCTTCTCCTTATGAGAATGTAAGTAAGCTCCGCAAGGAAAGATATTTTTATCTGTATTGTTCACTTGAATTCTCCAGGTGCCTACAGAGATGACTGGAACTTAATAGGTGCCCAGTAAATGTGTCTGAAGGAATGAGCCCTGATTGTATGTGCTACAATGTCTTCTTTGTCTGCCTCCCCACCAGCACACTATTAACTTTTTGAAGGCAGGGAATTTTACTATTATGTCTGTTTACAATATGTTAGCACATTTCCTCATAGTAGTGGGTTTATAATAAATGTTTGCTAAGTGCATGTGTTCATCTCTGACATCCCCACTCCATAGGTTTGCAGGGTTTGTGATGACACCACGTCAAATCAGAATACAAATGCAATAATGTTGTTTTCTTAGTAGGGAAGCATTGTTATAAACTATCACAGTATCTGGGATCTGCCGAGATGAGAACACCAATATAGTGAACATTGCTCCTGCTGAGTTTCTTCAAAATTTAAGAAATCACCAGAGTCCATTTTACCTTTTCCCCCTTCTGTACCTATACATGAAACATTTATTTTAATAAGTTGGGACTAAAGGGAAGCCTGAGAACTGTAGAGCTTGAAAAATAGTATCTTACCTTTTGTGATTTTTCTTTTTGTTTCCTTTCTCAGAGCTCTTCCTGCCATGATGCAGTGGGTCCGCATGCAGAAGCCAGGAGAGAGTGGCATCAATATTGTCACTGCTGATTTTGTAGAACTTGGTGACTTTATCAGCACTGTCATAAAGCTCAACTATGTCTTTGATGAAGGAGAAGCCAACACTTGATAGCACTACTTGGAATTTCCATGAATAAGACGGAGAAGACTCATTGTATTAGGCATTATCTGTAAACACTCTGATCTTCCTATTCTACTAAGTCCCTGAAGGGAATAGAGCTGGTAGTGGGTGGGAAAAGGGGAAAACTATTTCTTCATTGATTACAAGCATACTCTTCATGACTATAAATATTTCATTTCCCATTTGATGAGTGAAATCTACTTCTAGTGTTAGGGATTAAAAAAAAACAGTAAATTTGTTTTTCAAAATTAGTCTTTGTAACGTAGAACTCATGAGTGTTTACTTGATTATGTTCTCTACTTTCAGCCTAAGGCTCCTACACTGTCTATACCCTGTAACCTTTCTGCTCCCTCTCTTGCTCGCTCTTTTTAATCAGATGCTCTGTGGAAATCAAAACAATTGGATGCCCAACATTTTGTGTATTACATTGTTGTCTTAAAACTTATTTGTTTTGTGGAACTTGGTATAATACTCTGCAGTCATCTGCAGTTGGGCAATCATAGCTCTTTTGCTCATAGAAAATCTGCATCAAATCAGTCTCCATGCATCAGTAATATTGGAGGCCATAATCAGTGATTTTTGTTATATGAAAATAATAGTGTTTCACAGTATTTCTATTTAAGGCAGCTATAAATATAGGATAAAAACATTTTTGGAAGAACTGTGAATGCCAACTTCAGAGGGAAAAAATGGTTGAGGGGTGAAAGAGATGGATGGCATTTTAATTCAGCAATCTCTTGAATAATATTGCCCTGCAAGTAGCCAGTAAATGATAAGGTAAGACAAGTGCGTTAAAATTGAAAACTCTGAAAAGAGCTCTTTAAACAGCCCTCTTAATGACTCCTCTGATTATTTAAAAAAAAAAAAAAAAAAAGGAAGGAAGGAAGAAAAAAAGACTGCAAGCTTTCCTGCCAATTGGGGATTTCCAAATATTTAATCTAAACTCCAGATTTTAAGGAATATTTTTCAAGAAACTTCAAGATTTTGACTTGAAGAAAGAGAGAGGCTGGTAGAAGGAGTTAAAGCAATGTTTTTGAAATTATGTCCATGAAATTACAGGGTTCTGTGAAATATCTTTACAAAACTTGAAATCTATGAGATGTGAGTGGACCTCTTTAAAATTGGCACTGATTCCTCACTTCTGAGTTTCACCCTATTTGAGGGATGAGAGGCAAAAGTTTCACACAAAGTTTCTACAACCTAACGTTTAATCCTCTGTGTCTACTGGGAAGAACAATGACACAGCCTGAGTGTTGTTTCCGACTTGGTGTCTTTGTGATATTTGACAACTCTAAAAAATAATCTTAGTAAGAGCACAATAATCCTTGCCTATGTACTTCACAAGAATATTGTGAGGTATTTATAAAAATTATAAAATTTGATGAAATTCTTACAATTATGAATTATTTTCATATTTAGAAATAATCGCACCTCAATAGTTTCCTAGGACAATACAGTCCATGCAAAGTAGGGTCATAGAGAAATAAAAGCATGCCCTCAGCTTTTAATGAACTTAAATGTAGCACATATGGCTTCATCTCTTAGATACGGAAATTGAATTCAAGATTATATATGTCAAGGTCATAAATAATTGAGTTGATTTCAAAATTATAAATACTCATGATCAGAAAATAGTACATATTAGCAATTAAAGGGAGGAAAAGAAATTGTTTATACTGAAGAGAATGTTTATGAGGAGCGTGCATATACCTGTGGTAGACCAAATAGCATACATGTACACACAAAAATGTGTTTATACATTCGGGTTGTGTGTATACATCTTGCCATATACAATATACCAACATATGCCCACTCCTGTGCAAGCATACAGATTCAAACATACACAAACACACAGAGATATGGACACAGTACAATTCTTTTCAAATGAAAACATTAATATTAAAGACTGAAACCCTTAATGTGTTAAGAAGAGTAATAAGATCTTTGAGAGTAGATGATCACATTAAAATATTTTTGTAAAAAATTCTAGTGTAGGACTTCATTATTTTCAAAATATATTTCTTCTTTCCATTTTCCCTCCCCTTGTAGTTTTATCTTTCTATTTCTTACACCTGCTCTTTATGTGCAAATGTATATGAATCCTTTTTAAATGATTAGAATTACAGAAATGCATGTCCCACAAAATTGGTTTTTAGGCAGACGTTTTCCTCTAGCTGGCTACTCATTCATCCTTCAGGAGGATCTTTAGCCAAGCATATTTGCAGTGACACATAAATTTAATTTTATAAATATAATGGAAAACAGATTTCTCATCATATTAATGATAAAATATAGAGATAATTATGTTGTATTTTCTTGAACGTAGATACTTTCTTACAGTGTTTGCTTAGAATTAACTTTGTCCTATTTGTCAACTGGGTGCTGGAAAAAAACATGATGAAGCTTTAGAATAATTGTGTAGATTTTTAACTAGGGAAAGCTTTGTATTGCTGCTAATGACAAGCACCCAGAAACCTTGTTAGACAAAAGGCACTTTCAAGCCAATGCTGTGGTTTCCTCTGGACATACAGTGCCTATGTAGCAGGCACTGAGAGTAAATGGACTTGCCTTAATTTAGAAAGGGGGGAAGAGGTAGAAGGGAACCATGCGTCCTCCAGTTAGTTGGGGAGTTTACTAGGAGAGAGTCCTTGGAAAGGGGAATGGAGAGAAGGTACCTTTCAGTGTCTTCTGTCCATTAGCCCTGCCCTGGAGCACACTGCCCTGGAGCACACTTTTGTCCATTCGCCCTGCCCTGGAGCACATTTGTTACTTCCAAAAGTAACAAATGGTGATATACAATCAAAGACTACCCTCAGCCTATGCTCCTTTGTCTTAGCTGGGCACTGTCTTTTCAGAGTTTGTGTAGCACAAGGGCTACACACGAGCCCCAAGATGGCAGTAGATACAGCTTGGTGCACTTTTTGTTTTGCTTGTAGGTTAAGACTATTTCACAAGTCCTGTGAGGCAACAAAACAAAACAACCAGACAAATAAAATCTAACTTTTACCCAATCTACAGCAGAAAATCAAAGGAGTGGGTGGGACGAGAGAAAATATGCAAAGAGCAACATTTTTAAGTTTGCTTTCCTGTCTGTGATTTTCAAAGACTAATATAACAAAAATGTCTTCTGCCATTATCATTTATGTCTCCCTATTTACTACATAGTCATGTAAATGCAGAGAATGAGGAGGCATCTTTTAAAAGCCTTAGGATATTCTATATGATGACCTCAATATTTACTTTCAGCCATACTGGGAAAACCTACTTTTCATGGACTGCCACCTAACAGTGAATGTATTAGAGTATAAAATGTTTGGCACGTATACACCTCTATGTGCACACACACACACACACACACACACAGAGAATGCACATTTCACATACATACACTTATTCAAGTTGAAACTGCACTCGAATCAATCTGATTCTACTGCCGTTTCAACTTTTAAAATCAATATCTCCTGCATTAGTAGACATAAATCTAATTCAAGTATTTAAATATTTAAGAGGAGAAAAGTAACTAGAAAACCAATGAAAAGTGAGACTGTCAGAAACAGAAAATGCCTGGCACTAACAATTTATCTACATTGTCAATTATACTTCAAATTAGAGAATCCAAGATGGACTTGAATATAAATTACACACACACACACACACATACACACCTTAAAGTTGTTTTAAGTTCTTTGAAGTTTGAACATGTTTTTACCCAGGGTTATTTTGTTCAGGTTCTTCCTTGTTAGGATTCCAGACTGGAAAGTTGGAAGTCTCAGGAAATGCATGTTTCCATGAGTTTTTTAGTTTCACGGTTTTACAGATCCAACAACACAATCTTTTAATTTTTGGTCGCTCAACCAAATAGGAGCTCCATAGGCAGAGTGCTCAAACTTTGAATTGCTAATAGAAAATAATGCATAGTGTCCTCAGGATATGATAAACAAGGTTTTTAAGAGCATTTTATTTTATAGCACTTTTGTCTTTTCAGCTAGATTTCAGTGACACCATGGTGTAAATGCTATATTTGCCATAACTTATTGGTGGCTCCTGTGTTACATACAGTTTTAAATAATGCTCTAAATTGTTTGTTTTCCCAATAATAATGATAAAATATTCTGTAGAATTTGTAAAACATGTCTATTGAATCTGTTGAAAATTGTGTAATTGTTCTTTCAATTGTGATACTATTTTGTAGATATTAGTTTTAAATGTATATTTGTATGAGTCAAAAGTATGTGCTTGTATGTGGTGTGTGTGTGTACGTATACGATCTTTTATCAAAAATCAAACTTATCCTAAAGAAAAAGGGCACATTGTGACCAGCCTTAATTTATTAACACTTTTTTTGTTGTTCTTGCAATTTGGATTTAAAACTGAAACTGAAATTAATGTTTTTGTTAAAAATCGCTTCTTTTAATTTTACGAAGAATGTGCTTTAGAACCTATCTGTGTTCCCACAAGCAAACTGTCCAGCTTGTGGGGCACCCCATGCTTTTTGAAATAGTAAAACATCTATTAACTTATTAATGTCATCATCACACAGACTAATTTGTTTTCATCAGCAACAAAACCAGTGCACTTCTAAAATTGCTGTTCCCAACATGGCACCCATTTTTCTTTAATAAGTTTTCCATCAAAAATGGTTTCTCCAAACCATTACTTTTAAAAGTTCTATCTTCTCAAGTAAAATGAACTCCCTTGGTGTTATGGGAGTTTTTAAAGGCCCATCCATACTAGGTGGTTCCAACACGGTTCTCTTCTCAAAAAAAGCAAGCTGGAAACCCTCAAACTTTCCCTGTCTGCCCCACATGTAGTCTAGCAATAGAAAATTCATGACTAACAAGGATCTACACATGTGGTCATGCTTGAAGCAAAAATTCTGTGACCTTCTTCGGGCTTGGCATTTGGGTACAGAATATTAATTAACTTACTTATTTCCTTTCTTTCTCTATCCTTAGTTATTCTTTCTCAGTATTTAGGGTTGCCAGGTAAAATACAGGATACCCGGTGAAATTTAAATTGCAGATAAGATTTCTTTAGTGTATTTCTCATATATTTTATCAGACATACTTTCACTTTTAAAAAAAGTTTATCTAAAATTCAAAGTAACTGGGTGTGTCCTATATATTTTTTCCTAAATCTTATAATCCTATCCACACTGCCTTTCTCTCTTTTTCAGCTGGTATAAGGGGTGAGATCTGCCTCCCTCCATATCCCTGT